AAAAAGTTGTGTGAGATCCGAAAGGCCCTGGGTCTAATTTGTGAATTTTTATTAATATGTTTAAATCATCGACAAAATATTATTTCATTTTGTGTGAAAAAACTAGTGTTTTAGACGTGGGAAAAATTTATGACAAATGTTATTTCCTTTCATCGAGGAGAACATCCGCTGTTTTTCCCGTATCTAGTTAAAAATCTCGCTCAGATGGGAAATGGTTACCCCTCATTCATCCCCCTCTCATCCGTTCTCACGAAAGAGTTACTGAACGATGATTGGACGAAATTTTGGAATAAAAGGAGAAATTAGTCAGAATTCGAGGAGTTCTCCGACCGATTTGAAAGTGTCCAGACTCCACATACGTTCCGGGGAGTTCAGCGAGAGTTCTTCGACAGATCCGAAGCATACAAACTCCACATACGTTTTCCTCCTGATGGCCAACGCCCAAAACGGAGTCCGATAGACGAAGTCCCGAGTCTACACTTAGAAGAAGTGATATTTTTATATTTTGTGCACAAGTTAATCTCCCATACGAAAGAAAGATGACCCCTATCTACAAGGTGTCCTAGACCTACAGAATCGAAGACGACAACTAACAGGTCGTATGTTCATAATCAATCTTGTGAGCTCTCTCTCGATCGCGCATTAGCATAAGTTAAGTCGTAACTTTTAACTTGTCGTATAATCGTTGTATTTGGTTATTTGTATTCGTTTGTTTGAGACTTATTAAATTATACTTATGTTTTATTTTATAAGAATGTCTCCTCAATTTATTCCGAAACAGATCGCATACGCGTGTTAATCCGCGTAGAAAATAATTGATTAACTGGTGTCAAGGAATCCTGACGTTAGATATAGTCTTCGCCGCCTATATCCAATCAACATTTTAATAGCTCTCCTATAGGAACTTTTAGGATCGGATCTTACGATTCGAAACCTGGAGAACTAGTTTTACCAGCTGGGTGCCGATTAAGCGTTACTTGAGTACTACTTACTCCGTAACCCCGGCTGATCCCACAATATAGAGTTATTGCATATAAGTGTGCGCACTGAGTAAGTGAAAAAATGAAATATTTGTGAAAGGAGAAGAAGAAAGTAGAGGTAGTGACGCTAAAGTATGAAAAGTAACGATTGAAAAAAATTTCATTTTTACACTTCTCAAAAGTTAAATCGCTATATAATACGAAGGAATACGCATAGTCACATGAAAATTGCAGGACCACTGCAAGTGACAGAATGTAGCAAATGAAGTTTATGTACTAATCGGATCTCGTACCCAGTTTTGTGCTGTAATGATCAGCAGACGGCTCAGGCTATTAACCTTTTCCTTACTTTTTACTACGTTCTCTTGTTTACGTTTATTTTGTAAAATGACTAAGGCGAATATAGGTCAGTCAAGTGATATTATTTTAAAAGTCACCAAAAATCATATTATCATTATATTGATATGAAAAAATCACATACATTTATTAATATCTTTAATTTTAAATACGATATTTTTCAATACATTTTATTGGAAAATTTAAAAAATAAAAAATATTACAACTGACATCTAAATGTGAATTTTGTAACATTTTGTCAAAATTAACATTTTTTAGTTACTTTGTTTATTTCTGGCACTAAGCCAGGTTAACAACGAATATTGTTTCGTATGATTCTACATAACATTTATGCATATACTATTTTTGTTTCAAAATTATTACCCACTATATCAAATATTTGGAATCAAAACTTATATTCTACTCTCAAATAATTTAATCAACTAATATACTTTATTTACTTGATATCAAAAAAATATGAATTTTAGTAATAAACATATAATTACTAGTAGTAATACGTGTAATATTTTCTGATATTTTAGATAAAAATAAAAGTTATATGAAATGTCAGAACTGAAGCTCACAACTTCAATATATATAACTTGTTGATTTATTATAGAATTAATGAACTGAGTAAAGTAATATTATTGCATGAATATGCTAAAAAATAAAACAAAACATTATCAGGAAAAAATAAAGTGAAAAAAAGCATTAACTAACATTTTTTAAGTAAAGGAAACACTACAAATATGTAAAACAGATGATAGACAAGAGGTTGCTTGTCATATGCTTACATCTGTTGATAAATTTGTATAAAAATTGTTTATTAACAGGGTTTGATTTTTACGACTTTATATCCTGGTCAGTATTTTGACGATGGGGGTACTACATAGAAAATGGTACCTTGGTAAACTTAATTTTAGCTCAATTTATTTAGTTAACACAAAGTGTTTCGATTCATTTATATGTTTTGTAATGTTAAGTACATAAATACAGTCATGTCAGTAGGTTCTGCTGGAAAAAATGGTTAGACTAAACAATGCAGACACGCTATAACAAATTATATTTTGAAAGTTAGTTTTAACATAAAATTATGAAATTATAGCGATTAGATCTCTACTTTCAAAAACATTCCGATGCAAAAACGAGTTATCTCAAATCAACCAGTCAAGGTCAGCATGTTACAACCAGATATGTTGGGATCAACACGAAACACGTAAATCGGTTTTATCAAAGATTCGTTTGTGAAAATTTAGAGACTTTCACATTTCCAACTTTTCAACAAGCAACGCATACGCAAATCTTTCACTACTGCCTGTTTGTAGAGTGTTTCCATTTTGTATTTATTTTGACTTGGTTCTCGGTCCCGTAAGTACGTACTAGTATGGTTTTTTTATGCACGCATGATTTGGGCATAATACTCTGTGTTAAATTGCAATTTCTGACATGTACTCCATCATATCTCTATGTTGGAAAGCCAACTAGCAGTACGATTTTATAAACAACACAGTCTTGTCAAAAAGAAATTTGAAAAAAATTTATATTTGCTTATTTATAAACTTTATTACAGTTGACCCCCCTATAACACTATTGATAATTCCGTTTTATATGAATTCTATGTTTTATGAGTCACTTAGATTTTACAAATATGTGAGCCGTTTACAGTACGGCACACGTATTTGTAAAATCTAAGTAATACAACATGGAATTCATATAAAATAGAATTATAAACAGTGTTGTAGGGGGGTCGACTGTATATATTATAATTTTCATTGAAACATAAAATAATACGAAAATATTTTTTATGTATAAAACTTTTATTTTTAGGCAATTAAGTTAAGTTCATCTTCTCTAGAAACATCTAATATAGGACAAATGGTGAATCTGCTAGCATCTGATGTCAGCAAATTTCAAAATGTAAGTTGAAAATATTTTTCTGAAAAACATTATATTTACTGTATTAATAGAGAGGTTGAGGCTCACGAATTTAGCCCAAAACGTGTACGGGTAACGGGTGAGCGCCGCCATCTGGCAGTTCTGGACTGTCGATAATGGCGTTTGCTACGTGTAGCTTGGTGAGTACACGATCGGCTTAAACGTCTTCATTTTTTCGTGTTTGGGGTTAAAATTATGATTTATTTTGCTTCCGCCATTTTTTCAACTTATTTCCCGTGAGTCAATGCACGATGTTCACTGAGTCACGTGATGTTATGAACGTGTGCCTCAACGATTTTTACTTGGACTTGAAACGTGTAACGTGTACTTCTGCTACCCGTACACGTTTAACGTTTGAACTTGTGCCTCAACCTCNTAGAGAGGTTGAGGCGCACGTATTTAGCCCAAAACGTGTACGGGTAACGGGTGAGCGCCGCCATCTGGCAGTTCTGGACTGTCGATAATGGCGTTTGCTACGTGTAGCTTGGTGAGTACACGATCGGCTTAAACGTCTTCATTTTTTCGTGTTTGGGGTTAAAATTATGATTTATTTTGCTTCCGCCATTTTTTCAACTTATTTCCCGTGAGTCAATGCACGATGTTCACTGAGTCACGTGATGTTATGAACGTGTGCCTCAACGATTTTTACTTGGACTTGAAACGTGTAACGTGTACTTCTGCTACCCGTACACGTTTTACGTTTGAACTTGTGCCTCAACCTCTCTAATACTTTTATGTAGCGTAAATCATATCTTTCAACGATACATGTATCTTTTACATATATTAAAAAACGTATCTTCTATAAGTGGTTTATTAATTATAAAGGAACATATGCAGTTCAAAATCGTTAATATTTTATTTATTGTTAATATCCTAAATTAAATTTCTTCTTGTTGCAAAATCGATGTAAGCATGGTTATGAAGTCAGTCTGTTACATAGTACATAGAAATGTAGTAGAAGTTCGTTAATTGGCATTTAAAGTATTAATGTTGCATCAACTTATTGAAATTTTCGGATTACCATGTTTTTGTATTTTTCGCGAAGTTCGACAACTTATACATAATCTGAACTTTGTGTACATTCTTTACTCAGAGAAATGTCTAGTTTAACCTTTAACAACTAGTGTTGTCAAAAGTAAACTGTATAATTTTGTTTCTTATTTTTTTTTTGAAATTATCGAGCTATTTCAAAAAGCGAATACCTTCTAAATTAACAAAACACACATTGCTCGAAAAATTCTTTTAAAAACCTTAAAATATGCGGCTAATTTTTAAATCTTGAGTTGAGAAAGTAAAGTGCGATAATCCTAACAAGTTTCTAAATGCAATAACTTTTGAATTTTTGATGAATTGTCACTAGTGAAATCTACTAGTTTCCTATAAAATATTTTAATCTAACGTGTGACTGTAATCTACTTTCGAATATCTTCACTATCAACTGGGGATTTATACAACTTTCTACTAAGTACAGGTAGGCCTCCTACAACGTGGAACCTGTACAACGCGTTTTCGCTCCAACGCAGTTGGAAAATTGCGGAAATTTTCTTACAACACAGTACTCTTCCAACGCGATTAAAAGTACTTAGAAACGAATTATCTTCACATAACAGAAAAATCGCAACGGATCACCTGGTACGAGCTGCAGTTCGCCATACAGAGCTAAAAGTCTTTGAAAGCAGCTGTTTGTGGACGTTGGCATGTTATTTTCTTGAAAGTTTCAGGGGAAGACCGGTTTCTAGACAGATGTGCATCAGTTACCGTAAACACTCAAATATATCATTAAATTTTTGATCATTTATACTTTTTCAATAAGTGAGGACTGCGAAAATGGTCTAAAATACAGTATAAACTATTATTGGGTGTATATTTTTCTCGACTTTTACTGTACACAAAACTGATTGAAAAAATTTTAGTCATAACAATGCCGAATGAAAAGAAAGGACTGTCATTAAAAAGGAAATTTATAACTCTTCAAAGATAGAAAGTTTGGATCGAATTAAAAATCAAGAGCGGAAAGCTGATATCGGTAGGCATTTTAATTTAAGAGTGAACGATTCGGTCGGGAGGATCATCTATTCTTGCGAAAAATGTTGCTCGTTTCAGAGCACCTATAATGAAAAAAATGGAACAAGCGCTAATATTATGGGTAAAAGATATGAACAGGAAACGGGTGCCTTTAAATAAAATTGCACTTAAACACAAAGCCTTAAAAATATTTGATTATTTAAAACAAATGGGACAGTTGTCAGCGGATGAAACCAGTGTTAAATTCGTGGCTAGCAATGGCTGGTTTGAAAAATTTAAAAGACGCTATTCAAAAGCCAAATTTTTTTTCCCAGAACCGAATCCCAGTTTTTGAAATAAGTTGGTGTCTCCTATAACGCGATTTACCACAACGCGGTATTTTCAAGGAACGTATCTACCGCGTTGTAGGAGGCCTACCTGTATAAAAGTGTTAATATATCTTGGTATAACATAAGAGTGATAGTTGTATTTAAAGTTAATTAATTAATTAGTTTATATATTGCCTAAGTGTGCGTTATTTTTTCGAAAAAAGCAAAAACATTTAAGAACATTTTTGCGAGACGTAGATGATATATCTCATTATATCGATTCTGATGTTTGAGGGAAGATCATAGTGAGTACAAAGACAGAGATGACACAATATGATGAAATGAAGAGGCTGTTGATGAAAAAACGCTACTAGTAAAGTACGCACTGTTGATCAAGACAATGCTGATAAAGACATCGTTGAAGATGCCTGCTTAACTAAGGCTGCCTACATTATTAGAGATGATAGAAGTACTAAATGAAGCAGAAAAATACTAGCGAAAACAGTTCGGACATTTGGCTAAATTAATGAATTGAAATTCCTAATATTTGTAAAAGAACTTTGCTACTAATTTATTTTATGGATCATGTTCAGAAAAGAAAAAATAAACTGAGAATTTCAAGAGATCTTTGGTGTAAGATTGCCAGCCCGGTGGAGATAGGGGATGTGAAAACCCACTCCTCGACACCTGTATACAATTGTCATATTTTAGGATGAACCTAAGGGAAGGTTGCATGTGGGAGTGGCAGAGGAGGCAATTGATGACAAGTGCTTACAAAAGAAAAGGCCGTTTATTTGGTAACATTTATGCTTACCTTAATAACTGGAGTTCAGTTCCACTTCTTTTTGTGCTTTGAGATGGCGACGATTTTCCTCTCCTGTCGAAGCCCCAGGCGGACAAGATGGGATCGCAGGATGTAGAGGATGATCGGAGAGTCGCAGAGACGTCTTGTGCGACGACACAATTCAATATACAAAACCCACTGTGAGCTTAATCCAGAGGAGACTGCCCTTCGATTTGATATTCCGATTTTTATAATTTTTCTCTCGCTATTCGCATTTCGGATTGGTTCCTCTTCCCATTCGTCGTTTCCCCAATTGGTCTCTCCTTTGTTTCCAGGTGCAAGACGAAAACCTCTTCGGATAGCGGAAAAGGTCCGATTCGAGGTGTCTATTTGATATCTCTTTGTGGACTCTGTCCGGTGATTGTTTATGAAACAATAATTCAGGCCGTTGTTTATACCCTTTTTTTTTGTCGTCTAAGAATTTTAACAATCATTTTCATCTATCAAAAATTTCCCTTTTTTGTTCGAAAAGGTTTATCATGGCCAACATTTTATAGACTCGCGAGTCAATGACCTACCTGTTTATGAGCACTGGTGCTAGAGTTTGTCTTTCACTAAGATCTTGACAGATAGTTTGACACATACTCGAACAGTTCCGAGTCTTGTTGTTTACATCTGGCATCAAGTATGAAATCTGAGGTTTACTCGAGTTCGAACTTTGTCTGGGAACCCACATTGCCAATAGATAAAACCAGATAGATTTTAGGAAATGTAACACTCTGTAAGTGAATTATATTTTAATGCGTTAAACTCTGCCATTTAGGCCCTTCTACTTTGGGACACTTTTCTTTAAACTTTCATAATTTAGTTTCAAATTGATCTTTAGTTATGACTATTGAATATTTCAATTAATAATTGATAACATCACTATATATGATGAAACACTTGACCCTATACTATTTTATATATGAGAAAATGTCAAATAATTTCTTGCAGATTTTGTCCCGAGGTACAATTAGGGTTGCCACTGCAAGTTGAAATGAATATGTACAAAATTATATGCAAACCGTCGCATATATTTCTTCCCCCATGTACCGAATTACTAGTGTGGTAGTCGTTGGCATAGGTACAGTGCTGCTTTTTTTTGCTTGTACGATTCATTCGTAATCATATACACCTCCAATATCCAATAGTGCTAGGTCACTTGCGTTACCCCTATCCAAGTTTCCCTAGTCGCTAACTGTAACTGATTTAGAACTGGCATGCACTGCACATTATTCTTCGCATTGCAAAATGACATTGCGCATGCGTCAGGAACTTCTGTTCGAACAAACCTCACCTGCCCTCCGGGTCAGCGAGTTTGAAAAGGTGGCAATTCTAGGTACAATCCATGATTGTACCTCGGGACACGAACAATCCTAACGTTTTTGTAAATCTTCACTTTCGCCAGATGAAAGAATAGATATTTTATCCAAGTCCTTTCCTTTATAACAATAATTAGCTCTATCAGTTAACAAAAATGTTTGCTATGCTGGAAATGCAGGTAAGTATAATGCTTAAATGTCCTGTAGAAGGCATTTAAATGATTGAAAGCCAAAGATAATTTCATTTTTTTATTAAGAAAATTAATAGTCATTACAAATATAGGTCACAAACATTACTACAGTACAGTACTTAGTAATTTCTTTAGAATTAATACCACAATTCTGACAGTAATTTTCAAAAAAGGTGCAATTTTCGTGCACCCATAATCGACAGGTGACGCATTGAATCCAGTCTTCTGTGCTCGAAGTAGTAAAATAATTTTCATCGCACCCCACACAATTATTTTCCTCCTGAACTTAATCCCACGAGTCGTCACTCTCTAAGATCGCAAAAGTTTCATCTTCAGAGTAACTGACTTCTTTTTTCATCTTAAAAACTCACTTTTTAACAGATTTAGCATTTTTATTAATTTCATTATTTTTTTGCGGCCAACAGAAACATAATAACAAAAGTAAACATAAGAATATTTAATAAATAGTTGAGAAAAGCAATGCCTTGTACCTTGGTACTGTCCCAAGGTACAAAAATTCACTGTCGCAAGGTACAATTTTCTCTTGTTTATAACAAAGTATGGTTATAATTTTTCAATTACAGAAATGCAATGTTATTTATTAAAATAAGTGGTTACGAATGTAGTTATTAACTAACTACACCTTAATTAAATTACTCACTTCAAAATATTTCGATTAAAACCAAGATCCCAACGGATTGCAAAAAAACAAACACCTATAAAAATCACACGACGTGTTACAGCGGTAAAACGATTTAAAATGGCCGACTTTACGTCATGCATTCTGAATGTTGTAATGAAACAGCTACTAGATATTGGTACTTACTACTTCTGAATATATTATTTTTCAGATGACGAGCTTGTCCCGAAGTACACTGTGTTCCAAGGTTCAAGGACACTATGTTAATAAAATGAATTTTTGTTTTTCTTTATATTTTTATTACAAACATTTAAGTAAAACATGAACATATTTTTTCAATATCTTTATGTGCAAAAAATTAT